GGCCCTCCAGGGTTGGGGAGCATCTGTGAACGTTACATTAATCGTGGATCCACGCGCTGCCTTTAAATGCCAGCAGCAGCTCCGTTCTGCAGGGCCTGGGGAATGTCTCATATCCGCAACCACCTGTTTTAGGCAGTCATGGCCATGACCATGCACTGTCTCCAGTATCAGTACCAAGTTAGTATATTTCTGTTCCTGTGTTGCGCTCTACTTCCTTCCCAGTCATGCTGAAAGCATTCTTTGTAGACCGTAAAATAGATCAAGAAGCTGATCTGGCTTAAAAAAAGCGCATTACCTGAAGAAAGGAGAAGTGTAGGGTTTCAAACACAAATTGTGGTAGAGAAGTGGCAGGAACAGCTTGAGCCATTATTACCATCAAAGCCAGTGTAATGTCAAATCATTATTTGAGGTGCTGCTGACTCAGGGGGTTACAGAGGGATGGATGAGTCAAGTGGGCGTTGTACTTTCGAAAAGAAAGGCACAGAACTATAGGCTGTTCTTAATGGAAGTGTTTCTGTGCCTTCTCTTGAAGCTTCAGAGAAACACGGAGATCACTGATTCAAAGAGAAGAAGCAAGGATTAGCTTTGATTCCCTAATCTACTGCCAGGGTCATCAGCTGGGCTCTGGTTTCTTCTCCCAAAGGTCTTTGTGTAGTTTTATTCAGTGATTGTTTTACATTAAAAAAAAAAAAAATCCCAATACTTGAATGCATGAATCTGGAATAGGGAACACATGAGAACAGGAGGAGATGATTAAGTTTGGGAGATATGGAAATGTTTCTGCCACAGTCCACTCAATCTAAATCAATGCCCTTTTAAAATCACACAATATATGATATATACTCTTTCCTCTGTCACTTGCATGACTTGCTGCTGCTTTGTTTTCATTCTCATTTGTCACTAATAGTCTTCTTGCCTCTCCATTGTCAGCAGAGGGGCCTACCAGGATTGTTGGCTGTACTGCCTTTATAGTGACAGAATGGGGACAAGACAGGGCTGTGTATGTGTGTGTGGTGGAAAGAAGGAGGGGTACAGGTGGTAGTGATGCAATGAAGTAGAGTTCCAGGCATAGGTAGCAGAGTAATATTTCAAATGAAGCTTTAGTTACTTAGAGCTACGCCTTTTTAAAAATAGTTTTTAATGGATTATTTAAATATGATTTTGTGTGTTCTAGTGCTAGTATCGATAAAGAAACAGTTGCTGGCACCAGTTCACCACAGGCCATGTTGGATCACCATCCTGCGACCGTCATGATGGAGTTGCAATCAGAAGAGGATGTCAAACCTCCTCCTTCTTTGATTGTAGACTCACAGCAAAATGAGAACTTAGACCAAGAGGTAGAACACCAGCTGGTACGCATTATGGAAAGGTCTCCTTCAACATCGGTATCTTCAGTTGATATGAGACTGATGATGTCTCCCTCTCCTATACCAAGAAGAGATGAGGTGTTTAGGCTTGAGGTTGGAGAACGCTTTAGACCAATGTGTGGTTATGACCCACACGTGTTACAAATGCTGAAAGAAGAGCATCAAGTAATATTAGAAAATCAAAGAAAAATTGGCCTTTATGTCCAAGAAAAAAGGGATGGTTTGAAAAGAAAGCAGCAACTGGAAGAAGAACTACTGAGAACAAAAATCGAAGTAGAGAAGCTGAAGGCAATACGACTACGCCGTGATCTGCCAGAATACATCAATATCTGAATATTTTTATCATTTCTGTCATATTCTTTGAAATACTTAATAACAAATGCTTTTGCCCTAGCAAAATTGTTCCTTATGTTAATATGGATGGATCAAAATCTGGACTTGAGAGATGAAAGCATATTTTCCATGTGGTTCTTTACGTACCTTAGAAAAATATGTTGTATGGGTTTGAATGCACCAACAAGTATAATCAAAATCTGTATATTTAAGTGTTTAGGTTGCAAAAAAATCCAAACTCTATTAGAGTTGTCATGAGGTAATAGAAATTTATCTTGACTCTTTTTAAAGATGTTGATCGTATGCATTAATTTTTTCAAATAATCACTTATCCTTTAATATCTTAATGGAGTTACAGGTGAATAAATACATATGAAAAGGAGGAATAAGAGGCTGTGTTTAAGTGTCTTATTCAAATTCATAAATCTTACGACAGTGGTGACATTTTGCTGATAGATCCGCTTGGAAATCAAAATTACTGGATTGTTATATTTTTTTAATGTTCAGTAGATGGCTGAATAAATGTACATCTTTTTAAAAGTTACTACTTTTTGTTTCCAGCAGAGGAGTGTTTCCTAGGATGTTGTCAGAGTAGAGGCATGAATGCAACACTTGGTCCTGAAGGCTGCATGCATGTGTAATTTGTGTGTACAGTTACCATGACCGTATATTCAGTTACAGTAATTATACTGGTGATCAACCACAAAAATGTCTAATTTCCTCATTTGCATGCGTAATTACTACCGTGCATGTGCAACCATGACAGTTGCAGGTGCTTTTGATCGGTATCACTATGACTATAAGCTACTGAAATGAAGTAGTTTCTGTATGTAACATGTGACTTGAACAGAAGATTCTTTGTTATTCTGGGTACCTTTTATATATGCTGTTGTTCTGGTCTTTCCATTAGTTTCAAATAAAAAGCCCCAAATGCAAAAGAAATCGTTTCTTTTGTCTGTCCCAGTAGCAGCTGTTTCCTCTGCAGTTACAATCAACGTTCATAACTTGGAAGAAAAATACCTGGAAAGCATAAGTCCCAGATGATTAATTTCTTCATAATTCTTAGTCTCCTGCCTGTTTTGAATGGATCCACAATTGCCTTAGACCTCTGGCTCCTTATTCCCTGTAACAATACTTTCTCCTTCCTCTAACCCTTAGCACAAGAAAGGAAGCGAAGCACAGCATCAAGGAAACAGGGCGAACAAGGAGATGGAATTCCTCCCGTGCCTCCCATTTCAGGGGGCCCCAATAGCAGAAAAAACAACAGCTATAGGAAGGAGAATACTTCTTCCCCTGGCTGCTTGTAACTGTTGCTTCTATCACAACTGGTTTTCCCAAAATTGCTTCTTGCTCCCTTACCAAAGAACCTCGGCATGCAAGGATGGGGCACTGGTCTCCATCAGCAGACCCTGGACGAGGTAAGCCTCGTACCTCCTTGTCGGTCTTCTGAGTGAACCAGGTTACCTCTGTAGCCATGGGGATAAATCTTATTAAAAACTGAAGGCTGGAAAGATGTAAGTTTAATTGAGGAGCTAGTGAAGCTTGAAGAATTGTGGTTAAAATTTTATGATACAAGAGAAGGAATCGTGACTGTTTATGGCCGGGGTGACTAACAGGTTACAGGTGGGAAGAGTGGAGGAAACAAGCCTTTTGTTTACAAGCTGAGGAAAAATGCAAACAGATGTCGTCAGTATGGAGTTCCCCAATACTTTTCCAGTTGTTTTCTAGAGAAGAGTGCGCTGTGTGTGTTCTGTTGGGAATTTCTGCGTGCGCTGACAGTGATAATACCTGAATAAGTGGCCTCTGTTTCTGTACAGTCCTTGGCTTTCTGCTGCATTTTTCAGTTTAAGAACAGCGTTCCGTTTTCGTGTAGCTGGAAACACTTCAATGAGACACTCGCTTCTCTGAGTTTACAAGAGTCAAAATATTGGCTTTCATAAATAAATAAGGATTTTATTTGTTCTACTTCTCAGAAATGGGAAACAGCACCAAATTCTTTGCACTCGCCTTATAATTTGGAAATGCCCGATCTGATCCTTTCAGTTGCAAATCAGAATTCTGGTTTCCAGTGGTAAGGAATTAATTTCTGTTTGTTGTTTCCGTCCTTGCACATTATGCAAATGAACAAGTTTTTAATAGTTCAGAAAATAATTCCCAAACAGCTCATCATCTTGCAGTGGTTTTGAATGAATAGATACGTTGGCCGCCAAAATGCTGGGGAGATTTTACAGTGTTTTCTGTGGAAGTCTCCATTCTCCTTGAGTTAGATGAAGAGGTGACCTCCAGGGTTTCTATTGCTGTGGTATTTTTATTCCAGAGACTAGAATGAGAGGAATTTCCAGTCTCTGAAAGCTTGCAGTCCTTTCTGAACTGACAGACAAAGTAGATGCGACGATAGGACTCCGGGTAGAGCGAAGTCTCCCTTGTATTCTTGATATTGGAAAGGGAAGGATGCAAATGAATAAAGAAGTAAACTGCACCGGCCTGGTCACAACTGTCTCCCTGTCATCAGTGTTCTTCCACGTTTGGTTGTTGTGGCTTTTCTCATTTCTTCGTGGAAGGCCTTTCATTCTTACTGCAGGCAGCACCTCTAGTTCAGAGCTCGCATGCTTCTCGCTTCTTTGTTCTTGGTTGTGTTTGTTTTGGGGAGCTTGGGCTGGGGGGAGACGTGTCTTGTGTCCCTGTTGGGCTTGTTTCTTTACTAGTGACGTGACGTTTATTTCCGTTCGCTACAGAAATGTTTTCTCCTTCAGTGACAAGATACTGCTCTGTCAGTGCAGTATGGTGCCAGCTATGTATCGCCTCTCCGTGGTGGATCTGCCTTTCTCTCTCGCTCCACATCTGCTTTACGGTATCAGGTTACCTCTCCGAGTCAGAATTCTCCCTTCTCAGTGCCTGTTCCTGGTTTGGGTTTTTTCCCCATGGATTCCTAATGTGGGTACATGCACCACAGCTGTGGCTAGTCCTTGAAGGGCTACGAATTCTTACTGTTCCAGCAAGTGGTATTTCGTTTGTGTGTGTGAAAGGGATGGTGGGAAGACCTTTCCTCCTTCACCCCCATTCTTATCCTCTTATTCCCTTCGCTGCATCTGTCAGTGCCATTCCCTGTCTGCGTGTTTATAATGTACGTAGTGCAAGCAGAGTAATTTTAGGCTAGGACAAATTTCTACCATATGCTCACGTCCTTCTACTAAGATAACTGAAATAAACGGGCTCCAGGAGTCATTTAATTTCCAGCCTCTAATGGATTTATGTTTAGGATTAGGGTAAAAAACTGTAACTATGATAACTTTGTGATGATTGTGACAGCATAACTTGATTTATCTGCGTAATCATCTAATGATAAGTCTATAATTTGGTCGGCTGCTCCCTAATTATCTTGCTTTGTTTGGTCCCTCCCCGTTTCCCCCCTGTAAGCTTTCAACTCCTGTGGAATCATCCCAGTTGATGTGCTTGCCTTAGATCAGAATTCTTATCAGGTAAAAATGGTAGGAGAAAGAAGTACTCCAAGACGGGGAGAGATTACTTATAGCTAATCTTGCTTGTCATACTCCTGTTTTCTAATATCTTCCACCTCACTAGCTTCAATTCCTTTCTTTCATTTGTATTTGTACACATTTTCTGGCTTGGAATTTTTTTTCTCCCATACAGAGAAAATGCATACTACTGTTTGGTCTTGCATACTATCGTTGGGCAGATGGTGTGTCCACTGGATTTCCAATAGGCAAAGCCAGTAAGTTGCTTATCATTAGAAGTGAGTTGTTTCTGAACAAATGAGGAATTGTGGTAGCCAGGCTGGCTTGCTAAGCTGTCTTAAAATTTCTTGTATCTTAAAGTCCTTTAGGATGGTTCCATATGAATTTTAACTTTGGTAAAATCATAAGAAGGTTGCTGGTGAAGATGATAAAACGTTGTTTTCCTAGGATGTTGATTACTTTTCTATTTTGCACATGAAAATAAAGAGAAGCCTTTAAAAAGAATGTCTTTTAGCATTTGTCAATGTTTTAAAATACATGAAATGTAGCTTCTCAGTGTGTAATAAGTTGTGCTATTCTGTTTTTAAATATCCAGGTCTGAAATAATTTGAGAAATCTCATTCTTTAAGTCTTCGACTAATGAAAAAAAAGTCTGCTGCTTACAGCAGTTGAAATAATGGTCTGTTAGCTGGGTGTGCAACACATGACTAAATTTCAGTCATTCTGTGACCTATGTTTCTGTGTTTTATCTCCACTAAAAATGAAAGCGTCTGCCTTGATGTCAGCCAAGGTGCCTGTGTAGTGGTGGTTGCTCTTAAACGTCATCCAGTTTGTCTGGACAAAGTTTCCTCCATCCTAAAGATAACAATTTCCTGACGTTTTATTGAATACAAGCTCACAAAATTAGTCTCTGTGAAGTATTCCTTGTAAAACCTTCAGTTGTTCAGTGCTACAGCAGTTGAAAGCTTTGTCTGTGATTTGTGGGTGAGGGGAGGTGGGTGAGGGCCAGAAATCCTAAGGAAAGCTCAGCCGGCTGCAGGAGCTGGCATTCCCCGCTGCCCCTGCCTCTCTGCCATGCTATGGTATTTCCACGCTGGTTTATCCTAGTGATTACACAGAATGGTGTCTTGGTGTATCCCAGCATCGCTGAGTGAACGTTATCCTAGTGATTACACAGAATGATGTCTTGGTGTATCCCAAGATTGAGTGAGGGTGACGCCTTGTTTGACTCTATTATTCACACAGAGGAATGTCATATAATTTTCATTGATTACTTAATCAGCAGTTACTCCACATGATTTATGATTTCCATTTGCTGTTTAACAAAACTGCAGACTTGAAAAATCGTACTTATTTTTTGGTATTTTACATATGCTAATACATTTTTTTAAAAATGAAGTCATTGTACCCTGGCCATTTCCCGGTGGCTCTCGATTTTCATCTCTAGTTAGCACAACCACAATTATTAGCATAATTTAACACAAATGTCAGCTAAAAAAAAATTCCACTGGATTATGGTGCCCCTCCATACTCAGTTATGTCAGGACCTGGTTTGGTTAAGGCTCAGTCATTTTGATGACAGTATGCTGTGTCTCGCCATTTGTCTTTGTATGATCCTTGTCAGTACTGCTGATGTTTTCTCAAAATACGGCATTTTTCAAAGTTCAGAATTTTATGCATGCTTGGAATAAGTAAACCAGTTTATAAAT